TATATATTTGGTGTAAATCAGTGAGGGGATTCTGCAGACTGTTGAGGGTTCAGCCTCCTGATGAGTCGGTGAAACTCCGACGAAACAGTTTGTCACAGCCCCTCGTTTGTTGTCCTCTTCTCTCTCTCTGCCTACGGTTTTACTGGGCAGTTCTGTTTGTGACGATATATATATTTGGTGAATAATTTCGATGTGACCCTGAGGCAAAAGTTGTTCAGTTTATTTTTCTGCATAACATAGTTTTTTTGTGGATTTTTTGGTGGATTTTTGGGATTTATTATTATTATTATTATTATTTTGCTGAAACCTTCCCTGGTCCTTGCACGGGCTGGCCACCCGGGACCCGGGCGGCCCGGCTGGTAGCCTAGATTTGAGCTATATTTCTCTTTTTCTTGTCATCTAATTTCTCCTTCCAGTTCTTTGCCCTCTCTCCCCTCCGTGATCATGGATATTTTACCTTTTTTTTTTTTTTTTTTTTACTCTGCAGCTGAGCACCGGTCTCTGAAGATGAAGGTCTCCGCCCTAATCCCTTTTTTTTATCTCCTTGCAAGGAAGATGAGCAATAGTGAACTTCAGCAATCAAACAGCATCATACACATGAGACCAGATAGTCGTGACCTCGAACCAAAAAGCAGAATTGCATCACGAGTTTCACCAAATAAGAGCACACCAAAAGCTCATAATTGACAATGCTGGAATAGTCTCATCATCATCATCAACGAAGAACAAATGTTGATATCCTATCTGGCGCTCGGCGCCCAGACTACAGATGGCAGATCCTATCTAGTCTACTCTACAATGCCGCAGATGACGTCAACAGCTCCCCGAAGTACGAGCAGATCTCGGCCAATGCTGCATGCTTCAAGCACCAGGTGTGTCTCTCGTATCACTCACAACCTCGTTCCCCAACTCACAGATGCCACTTGCACCAAAGGACCACCATGCGCCCCATCCAGCATACAGCAGCGCAGCTCGGCTATGGCTGCCTGCTCCTTCCAGCTCGCCCGTGAGCACGTGAGCCTGGCAGGCGATAGCGCAGCAGCGCTTGCGCACAAAGCAGCCAGTGCCCGAATGCCGAATGCATAGGCTGGCCCTTTCTTGAATGGAAATGGCCAGCCTGCTTGCGTGCAGCCTGGCTGTGCTGGGTCCCTGCCCAGAAGCTTCCGGTAGGCCCAGGGAGGCTGAGCCTCAGACCAAACGAATCAGGCCCAGGGCCACCGACAGTTACCCGGGCCCAACTGCCCACTGTCTGAGTTGGGCCTAAGCTGCGTATCTCGCCCAGGGCCTGACTTAGATACAGTCGATAAAGGAGGCCAGGGCCTGGGCGCCTTCAACCAACTGGCGCTGCGCAACTGCCTGAATTTTCCCCAGTTGCGAAGTAGTCAAAAATAGGCCTCTTGTCGTCTGTCGGGCCTGCCTTCACTTAGGGCAGCCGACCTGTTGCAAGTAGGGGCCCAGTAGGGCTTATCGAGGCCTATGCCTCGAATCCTCGTGATTGTGTGCTTTGACCTCATCCTCCATCTTTCTGCCTCGCGTTTGTTCTGCTCCTCTCTGTTTCGTTTCCCAGCATGACTGCTCCGACGAGATGGAGATGGATGCAGTTCTCTCTGATTGTAGCTATTCTTCATCTTGCTCTCCAATGTTAACCTAAATTTCTATTCGCAGAGTATTTCAATGATATTCCCGTCTTGCCATGGTACATCCATGCTAAGTCCCTGATAGAGAGGGCTGGCTTTTTCTGTCTCGCCTATTTTGTCCTTCGTAGGAAGTGCTTCCGAGTTATTTTGTGCGCTGAGCTCTGTTGTGAAAATGTGGTGCGGGTCACATGAGGCTGCTGGTCTGTAGTCTGCATCTGAGATGGGTGTGCCGCGTCTGCACATGAACACATGATGATGACGGCCATGATGACAACGACGATGGTGATGATGATGGTGATGATAATGATGATGATGATGATGATGATGATGATGATGATGATGATGATGATGATGATGATGAACTACTGAAGGATAAGCATGCTTATGTGGGACGTATCCCGTGCTAGAGAATCAGACGACGACGACAACGACAACGATGATGATGATGACGATGATGAAAATCTACTGATGGATAAGCATGCTTATGTGGGACTTGTCCCGTGCTAGAGAACGTTATCTGCACCTCCGATGGGAGACTTAGTGGGAGAGAAAACACATCAGTGATATAACAAAATACTCACACTCTTTACCCACCGGCCTAGCTCGGTCAATTATGAATCACCTTGGGCCGGTCAGTTCAATGATGATATCTGAACGCCGTTGCCCTTTAAGAAAAGAGAGAGGACAACAAACGAGAGGTGTGTATGTATTTTTTTGCATGGCGATTCCACCAGCATCATTGGAGCCAATACGCGTAGTACATAGGAAAAGGGAAGGGGGGGGGGGGCTTAACGTGCGCATGCAATCTCTCAAGCAAGTGGATGTTCGGTGTTTCTGTCTGAGCTATTGATCGCAGGCGATGAGTTTGTGAGAAAGGGGAAGCATGTAATCATCGTCGGCGACCTCAACATATCTCACAAAGATGGTGACGTGCACAGGAGTTTCAACCTTCTTGAGATGTACTCTTCTGGTGAGTCTATCTCCCTCTGCAAATTTCAAAAATGGCACAGAAGGTGGTAGAGGCCGCTTACATTAGTTGTGGCTTGCCTGCAGTGAATGTGGCTGAGTTCTTCGCGTTTTTTTTTTCCTTCCAATGTAAAGCGGGTTTTGTTTCATTTTTCAGCAGAGACGCAGAAATCTCTCCAAAGTTGCACAAACACTCCCCCTTTTTCTTTTTCCAATCAGCGGACTCCGAAGAGGCCAGTGTTGTTGTTTATCGTCAGTCTACCTCGCTGAAGCTTGTCATCAATAAATCCAATAATTTCACCTCTCACAATGGGATGATATGCATGCCCCCTGCCGTCTCTATTACCAGTATGTTTCACAGGCAGTTTTGCAAAGTTGCGGCTTGCACGCTGTGTTGCTACTTTTGAAGCTCGGCCTCCGGAGCAAAATGGCTGGTGGCGCCACACGAAAGGACTCTTAAAGGCTGTCTCTTATACACATCTAGATGTGTATAAGAGACAGACTCCGAAGAGGCCAGTGTTGTTGTTTATCGTCAGTCTACCTCGCTGAAGCTTGTCATCAATAAATCCAATAATTTCACCTCTCACAATGGGATGATATGCATGCCCCCTGCCGTCTCTATTACCAGTATGTTTCACAGGCAGTTTTGCAAAGTTGCGGCTTGCACGCTGTGTTGCTACTTTTGAAGCTCGGCCTCCGGAGCAAAATGGCTGGTGGCGCCACACGAAAGGACTCTTAAAGGAGGCATGCAGTGCGTTCGGGAAGCCCCGAAGACAAAGTGCCTCGGCTACCGTCTTCCCCCGAACACAACGCACCCTCATTTTGGCTGTATCTGGCCGGAAATACTTGTATACATTGATTTTAAGGTTGTGTTATGTTCGGGGGAAGACTGTAGTACTGGTGGTTTACTGATTACTCCACTCCCAAAGACCAACAAAAAAATAGGACCCCTGTCCTATTGTTGTTATTCCATGCTACAATTTTCAGACCACAGCCCTACGTTGAACATTTCCACAAATGTAGTCATGTTCACTCTTACGATTTTTCAGCACCGCCTTTATAAATGTCTGCAAAGTTGCGCACACTCACTGATGTGATGTGAACTTGGCAACTGGAATGGATGCCTTTGCTTCGCGAATGGGGGTACTGCCATCTTTTAGTTATTAGCACGAGCACTAACAAATGTTATGGGCCAGGTGCAAGGTGGATGGAGATTGAAGTTTGAATGTGTCTGATCCGTGCTTGAAGTTCGAGTAGGAACCTGCGTGATCGTTCTGTGAAGAGGAGGACCATTGACTCATGTTTATTTTTCCCTTCTTTTAACGTGTTATTCATGAAACCACCACTGCCTCCGAGCCTCTTTTTGCCAAGAGGCGGAGGCGGAACTGCGCACGTAAAGCGACCGGTCCATAGCCCAGTCCCATCCTTCGGTCACTGATTTCCAATGCTTTCTAAGTTTCTATCCCTCTCCAAGGCAGCACTATGCGTTGTGAATCCCAGAATCATCAGTGTTTTGTGAGCCCCTCTCCTGTTCTCCTTCATCATTAGAACTGGTCTGTGGAGCTCATATATCGTCAGTGGTCACCTGTGTCTTCCTCAGCCCAATCCTTCCCCCTGAATCGATTTATTGATGGATTGACCTCTCTTCCTTTCCCAACCCCCTCAGAACCTTGTTACTCGTGTACCATTGCCTGCGAACTGTTTTTTTTTTTTTTTTTTTTTTTTTTTTTTAACAGG